GGGAGAACATGTCAGAGCACCTGGAGGAAACCCACGCTGACACAGGGAGAATATGTCGGAGCAACTGGAGGAAACCAACGCTGACACAGGGAGAACATGTCGGAGCACCTGGAGGAAACCCACGCTGACACGGAGAACAAGTCGGAGCACCTGGAGGAAACCCACGCTGACACGGGGAGAACATGTCAGAGCACCTGGAGGAAACCCACGCTGACACAGGGAGAACATGTCAGAGCACCTGGAGGAAACCCACACTGACACGGGGAAAACATGCAAACTCTGCACATGTATATTTGTTGTCGATAAATTTCGGAATTTGTTGAAAAAATATAGGAGTTAAAAGAAATGTAAGAGAGGCGTAGGGACATATAAGTTTTAATTCTATCGACTCCTTTTCGGACACTGTTATCTCTGTCCTCCTGCCCTCTGTTGCTGATGTGATTCACTGCCTGCAGGTACAAACAGTACGGTCGTGGCATACCACGTACAATGTGGTGTTGTAGCAGGGTTCAAATCACCGTCTGCTGAATGGTGTCGAGGTCAGGAGGATCTCTTTGAGCCATAAAACAATAAAAATCCAGTTTCCCTATTAAATCTGATCTGACATGCCACGACGAGCCTCAGAGTTAAAGGTCCTCTTGTATCTTACAGCTTGACTGTAACCATACTAATTGCTCAAACCAGAGTTGTTTCAATTTTAGGCTCCTGTTAGTCAACACGTTTTTAATTACTGTCACTGTGATGCATGTCTCAGGTGCAGACAGGACGACTGGTGGTTCTTATTACCTGTCAGGTTGTCATTCAGCGGACACTGGCTCCACGGCAGAGGGTTCTGGAAAGAGTTAAAGAAGTACCAGAGCACCCAGGCCAGCAGGGTGTTGTAGAAAATGCTCACCAGCAGTGACACCCACATGGAGGCGATGCCTTCACACAGGAAATAGATGATAAACAACATGTTCAATACCACAGATAATGATGAATATGACAGATAATAAATGTCACTAATAATTCTTGGCCACCCACCGACTCCACCCAGCAGCGGTGAGATGGTGTTCCAGACGCTGATGCTTCCCAGGCGGAGCCTCTGTCCTATGGCCAGCTCCAGGTAGAGCAGGGGGAGGCCCTGGAACACCAGCGCTATCAGGTAGGGGATGAGGAACGCACCTGGAGACATGAAGTTAATGTTAACCTCACAGAGTTTCATTATCAACAGACTCTGCAGAGATAATGTTTGAACCACGTTAATAAAACAAATGATACCTATGTTTTATCACCTGCATTAAGCTATGATAAGAAAGACTTCAGGCTGAATGAGTTTAAACTGGAGTACATGTAGAGCACAAACACACAGGCTGGTGTTAATGTTGTCTGACAGCATCACATAATCTCAGCTCACCTCCTCCGTAGATTTGGCACAGGTAGGGAAAACGCCACACGTTTCCAACTCCCACTGCAAAGCCGATACATGTCAGCAGGTACTGAGTCTTGTTGTCCCATTTGGGTCTCTCCTCCACCCCACAGTCTGTCGGTCTGCCCATAGCCGGCTGGGGAAAAGCTAATCACAGTTACAGAGCTGTCAGAGGGATACAGCTCTGTAATCTTCAGTGGGCTGTCCTTTAATGTCCTATCAGGTGCAGCGCAGGAGATTATATATTTAATGGGTTTTATGAAGAAATAAGGCCAAAAGGGAGCGGCTGAAAACATAAGGCATCCTGATTTAATGGTTAAACTCTCCAGTTGTGTGAAATGTGTGTGTGCTGGGACTCAGATTAATGGATAACCTGAGGAGATCTCTCCATATCACAGTGACTTAGACCTGCACCCAGGAAGCTGGAGTTATAGACAGGGCCGTACGCAGGGTTCAGGAATACAGAGCCTGAGCTCTGAGGGGGCTTCGGGGGCATGATCCCCTGAAAGTGTTTGATTTCCCTGATCTAAATATGTGCATTTTAAGATGTTTGGAGAGCAAAACCTGGAAAACAAAAGCTTTAAAATCATGTCAGGGGGATGCAGCATGAATGATCTGTTTTTTTATAAAGTAGAAGTAAAACTACTTTGTTACAGTACTTAAGTATTCTTTGGGAGTATTTGTACTCAGAGGTGGGGAACTGGAGTCACGTACTTGACTCCCGTCTGACTCAAGTCACAGATTTATGGGCTTGAGACTTGCTTGTTTAACACTGATGAAAGACTCGACGTGACTTTGACTTGGAATTCATGACTTGAAAGGACTTTTGTCATTTCCACTGTGCAGTCCGGTCCGGCACGATTTAGTTCGGTACACATTTTTCCCCGTTCCCACAGTGAAAAGTTGTGGATGGTACCAACAGAAGCGTTCCTTAGCATCCCCATGTTTGGTCCCCCCTCTGTTGGGGTACCTAGCACACAGATCTGGTACTAAAAGGTGGAGCTAGAAACCCTGCAGTCTGATTGGTCAGTAGAGGACGGTCACTCTGGTTTTATGTAACCTCTGTTCATACATCAGTAAACTACAACTATAAAATGAAAGAGAAAAAAATAACTTCATTCACTGGGCCGACTGCCGGCAACTTTTAAGGTGGAACGTTAACTTGTAATGTTACTCAATGCATGAGTTGATGACGTGAATCCATCAGCACACCTTAAATTTCACTGTGACAACTTTGACCATCACTTTAGTTTTTATATGACACACACTTTTAGTAATGACTTTAAAAATATAGATTAATTTGGAGCGGATTATGTGAAGGTCATATATTCTAATCCTCACTTCCTGTGGGCTACAGCAACACTAAACCCCTGAGCTTGCCTGAGAAGGACTAAATGCACAAAGCTGCTATTTTTAAATATCCCATGGAGAGAGACTCTCACTGCAGCCTGTTCTATTTTGTTGTGAAAATGTGGGCGTGCAGCCTCGTTCTGTGTTGCCAGATCTCGCGAGACAAATAAGCAACCAGGGGGGTATTCCATCTAGCAGGCTAAAGGCAAATCCAGGCTTAAATGGCCAAGTCTGGTTAATGTGAGCCAGAGTTCTGTTCCATCAAACTGGCTAAGATTAGCCTCACATTGGTAACCATGGAAACCATGGTTCTGGCTAAGCCTGATACATCGAGCTAAACTCCGGTTTCCGTTCCATCAAACTGAGCCACAACTCCGTTCCATCAAGGTGGTTAACCTGAATCCCAGCCTAGTAACCATGGTAATTTATGCTGCCGGGCAATCCTGGTGTGTAGCAGGATTAAGGTGAGGATTAGCTCCATCTATGATCAACAAATGTTCAATAGACAAGAACAGACACCTAAAAGACAGTGCTGCCAGTGCTTTACACACTCACAACTGTCATGTGATGATAAAATAATATGTAGATCATAAAATATATAACATCATTAATAAAAAAAAATAACTATTAAAAAACAAATTAAAATGTAACAAAAATAAGATAATTAAAAAAAAACACAACAGTAAAGCCAAAATCAGTTTAATAAAAACAAAACTATAATAAAATGAAACTGAGGCATTAAAAAAAGATTGTACATGAATATGTGATTGCCCTCCATCCCCACCACACTCTGTTTCCAATTGGCTAGCAAATTCACAGCCAATTAAGGTCAACTGACAACGGCCAGAGAAGGAGAGGGACACACCCAGAGAGAGACAGAGACAGAGCAAGAGAGAGTAAATTAGGAAATAATGGCATGACCCTTCATCGAGGATCCTGTTGATGAGGAGGCCCACATTGTTCAGAGGGTCTTCCAACCACCACCAGCCCCAAGGGTCTTCCAGGACAGGACCAGCCCATTGATACAGACAGACTCCTATCTGTGGGAGAGGTACCAGTTCAGCAGGCAGAGCATAGTGTATCTATGCAGTTTGCTGGAACCACACACTATAAAGGTCACACGCCACAGCCAGTCTCTGACCACTGTGCAGTCAGTCTGTACTGCACTGAGGTTCTTTGCTAGCGGTACATTCCTGTATAGTGTTGGTGATGCTGAGAGGCTAAGTAAGGCAACTGTTTGCAGAGAGGTAAAAAGGTGCATTTTCTATTCATTTTGATTATTTCTAGCATCACCATACATCATGCATAGAGCTTGATTTGTTCACATTAACATATGGTTATCTTTTTTTTATTTATGAATTAACCATGACACAAAGCAACCACATTAAAATGGGACACACACCATTGTGTTCTGTCTGTTCCTCATCCTATAGCACACTCCATACATTTAAGGGGATTTTCCTTATTTTGATATAATAAGAGATAGAGCTCACAGGTGACTCCCACATGATGAGAAATAGATCATTGATTCACTATCACCTGCATTCACTTAATAGGTTTCCTCATCTCCACTGAACTGATGGATTTGCTAAATGGAATTTTCTACAATCAATAGATAAATGTAATGTGATTATTTCCTATAAACTGATCATTTCAGAAATGTCATAATCTACAATCAGTGATGTGATAAATGTGATGATTCACATAAAATAGTTTGACTAAGTGCATCATCTGAAATGTACATAGGAATCAGTAGATAAATGTGATTAACAGTCTGTCACTAATATTAATTTACACATGTGGTTAATTTCATTAGGCAGACTTGAACTGTCAGATTTAACAGGTGTTCTTATCTACATATATTTTGTCCCTTTGATGAGGGATTTATAGAACATGATATTATGCTGAATTTTCTTTGTCACTTACACATTTAGCCTGTCGGCAATAGTCTGCCATGCCACCTGCCTTGCTTTATTAATTGCTGCAGTATTGCCTTTGTTCCTAATCATGTCCTTATAGTCCTCATACACTTCCATAAGGAGCGTTTGCTCCGCCGTAGAAAAAGCCTCCACTCACTCCTTTCCTTTGCTTTTTGACATTTTGTAACATTTTCGGCACTCGACTAGTTTGGGCGCGTGCATGAGTTGAGGCTTAACAGGTGAGGCTTGAATTAGCGTCAGTTGGAGCCAGCTGATTTCACTTGATGGAACGGGTTGGAGCTAGATTGGGAGTTGGCGTTTAGTCAAATTTAAAGATTACACCTTAGTCTGGATATTCTCAGCTACGTTAATGGAATACCCCACAGAGGCCTGTGAAAACAAGCCCAAAACAAGCAACTTTTTCTACGGAGCCCCCCGAGGTTCCGGGAAAAATAAATAAACTGTGTGCACGGTTTTACAGTCCGTGGGGACGGATTTTAAACTGTGGGTACAGATTGTCAATTTACATCCATGTGGTCAGATAAGTAAACTGTGCGCAGTTTTGCAAAACTGTACCCACTGTACACAGTTTATTTATTTTTCTCCCCCCTGAGCTTCAGGACAATGACCACAAGAGGGAGTTAAACCACCTTTTAACATTATTTAACATTAGAAAACAGATGGGATATCAAATATAGACTGATGTACCAAGTACATTATATACACAGTAAACCTCTGATAATTAAGATTTGCACACACAAATAAATATCACCCTGAATTCACAAATTCTTTATTTATTATTGCTTTTTATGCACTCATCTTGGGACGTTTTCCTAACCAGAAAAAAAAACACATTGCCCTGCTCTGCCTCTGATTGGCTGGTACTCGTTGCCATCAGGGTCAGAGCCAATTAGAAGCAGGATGCGGGTGGGAAAAAACTCTGCTGTCTCCTGTGTGTATGGAGAAAGGGGAGGGACAGAGGGAACAGGCAAGACAAACTATCCTACGTTTAAATAACATATCGAAAATATCTGCTTGACAACTTATTATGGAGCTGGGAACAAGCCCAAATAAGCAACTACGCTTTAGAAACAAGCCCAGAAAAACTGTGACCCGCGACTACCAATATTTGTAAGCAACTTTACAGAAAAACAAGCCCAAAGTCGCTTATAATGAGCGGACTTGGCAACACTGGCCTCGTTCTGTGGACGATAAACCAGGTGCAGACTTCCATCTGTGTCACCGCTGATGAGGAAATACAGCGAGTGCTGGACGGAGCAGTGAGTGACAACAACCCCGCCCACATTTAAGAGGACTGTCTGAACAGACCGAGGGTCTAGGTACCATGTCTGAAGGCTTACTGCTGGTTCCAAAGGTGCTGGACTGAAAGGGTTTGGTGGGAACTGTAGTAAATTATCTATAATGTGATAACTGTCATGTAAACTGCCCCTTAATGTCTTATTTTTTACGTTTTGTGTGGACCCCAGGAGGAGCAGTCGTCACTGTGGTATCAACTGATGTGTATCCTGAATACAGACTAAAGACTGACAGGTTGCAGCAGACTGTAGTTGTAATAGCACACCTGCAGCAGCAGAGGGCAGTCTCTCTGCACTGCAGCTCTTTTCTAATGACTGCATGTGTTTTTTTTCCTCCCTGAGAATGGTGAATGACTTTATGATCACACCAGACTTACAAACCTTTGCCAAGTACGACACACACATCACTGGTCATGTGCCACTCTCCACCAGCATGATGTATCTTTACTCTCTGACGTGCAGTTTTTTAGTTTGTTTGCTCTCTTTTTTTCAGACCAGAGGAGCACTTCATTAAATTTAAACATCTGTAAGATTAGTGAGGTCAATAACAATAAAAGTCATCTTTATTTGTAGTCCTCTCCAGATCCTAAAGATGACAGCAAATTATAATAAACAACTTATGAAATTAAGCCACAAGATGTATTGAATTTTGTAGTAATATATATATATATACAGTACAGGCCAAAAGTTTGGACACACCTTCTCATTCAATGCGTTTTCTTTATTTTCATGACTATTTACATTGTAGATTCTCACTGAAGGCATCAAAACTATGAATGAACACATGTGGAGTTATGTACTTAACAAAAAAAGGTGAAATAACTGAAAACATGTTTTATATTCTAGTTTCTTCAAAATAGCCACCCTTTGCTCTGATTACTGCTTTGCACACTCTTGGCATTCTCTCCATGAGCTTCAAGAGGTAGTCACCTGAAATGGTTTCCACTTCACAGGTGTGCCTTATCAGGGTTAATTAGTGGATATATATATATATGTATATATATGAATGCCTCAGGAGATATCCACAGTGGGGGAGCATGGAAAGTTGCTGTTACGCCACCCTGGGAATTTCACCCATGGAAGTTATTAAGACTGCTCTGGGCTACTGAGGTCACACAAGTTCAAATGCAACCACAGGGTCAAAGACGTGTTAACCAAAGGATTTATTTAGCAAAATAAAAATAAAATGACTAAAATGTCAAGAACACTAATCAGTGATAAACTAATAATCATTAGCACCTCATGGCTGTGTTTTAACTGCCCTCTTTCCCTCTTTGTGCTGCGGGCGCAGGGCGGCAGTCCAGTGCCCTGGTGGTGGTGTTTCTCATGGTCTCCTTCTTTTGTTGGTGGTTAGTTTTCATATCAGTCCAAGACTGATATGAAAACATCTTCATCACAACTTCCCAAGACCGGTACCTGTAAATGTGGACTTTATGAGAGGTGAACCCAACAAGGTCTTACATGGACTCAAGTCAGTTTATTACCACCCTTAATTTAGTTTTACAGTTGGAAATAGTTTAGTTGGATAAATTTTACAGTTCACTATCAAATAGACCAGAGAAAACATTTTCCTGTCCTCTGCTGTTGTCTTCTTGACAGGGAAGTGCAGTCTGGAGAGGTGTCTGGGGGATCTGATACTGGCCAGAGTCCGACAGGCCACTAAACCCAGGACCCCCGAGGACTTCTTGGCCATCCAGATGTAGACTTTGAGCTTTGAGTTCATGTTGTGAGTTTTGTCTGTTTTTTCTCCTGTGAAATTAATGAGTGATTCAGATTCATCTGATCGTCAGTGTGCCAAAATAATAATGTATCTGTTGCATTGGGAAACAGGTTAAAGAGTGAGAAACAGTCCCAAAGCTCAGTCATAAACTCACCCTATAAATCAACAACCACCAGATCAATAAAGATGGAGAACTGAAAAACATCCAGCTACTGCTCCAGACCCCGCCCCCTCCCACAGCTGTTTGTCTCTCTGGACTTTGATTTATACTTTGTGGTGTTTTTCCATGATGAAGACGTGACGTCATTTGGAAGATTGCTTGCTTGGACACCCCTGATCGAAATTTAATTTACAGTGAATAGTTAAGAAAGTAGAAGATGAACTGATCTCCCAGAGACATAAAGTTAAAGATGAAACATGCAGCAAGATCAGTGTTTTATTTTTGTTTTGTACAGTTGAGAGTGAAAAAATTAAACAAGCACCATGAAAAAGTCTGGGCACCCCGAGACATCTGAGCTCTCAGACAGCTTTTCCCAGGGTCTTAGACCTTAATGAGCTTGTTAGGGTCTGGCTTGTTCACAGTCATCGTTAGGAAAGGCCAGGTGATGCTAATTTCAACTGACTCCTGAAACCTTGTCCCAGCAATCAGCAGCCATGGGCTCCTCTAAACAGCTGTCTAGCACTCTGAAAATAAAAGACCTGATGAAGACTATAAGAAGATAGCAAAGTGTCTTCAGGGAGCTGTTTCCTCAGTTGGTCATGTCATTAAGAAATGGACGTTAACAGGAACTGTGGAGGTCAAGCTGAAAACTTTGTGACAGCTGCTTGTAGGATTGTTAGAAAGGCAAATCAAAAGACCTGCAGGAAGATTCATCAGACGCTGGAGTGGTGGTGCATTGTTCTACTGTGCAGACACACCTGGTCCAGTATGACCTTCATGGTCAGCACAGCAACGAGACCACCCTCATCAAAATCACCAATTACCTCCTCATCGCCACTGACTGTGATTTGATCAGTATACTCATCCTCCTCGACCTCTCTGCAGCCTTTGACACGTCTCCCACCCCATCCTCCTCACCCGCCTGGCAGAATACCTTGGCCTCACTGCCCTCTCATTCTTCCGCTCCTACCTCTCTGACTGTAAACAATTTGTTACCCATGCTGGTTCTTCCTCCCCCACCTCAGTCAATCACGGTGTCCCCCAAGGCTCAGTGCTTGGCCCCCTTCTGTTCAACATTAACATGCTCCCGTTAGGCAAAATCATCCACCGCCATGGTCTCAATTTTCATTCATATGCCGACGACACCCAGCTCTACATCAGTACAAAACCCTGTACCCTCTGCCCCCTCAGTCTCTCATCAATTGCCTCCTTGAAATAAAATCCTGGTTGACATCTAATCTACTCAAACTCAACAGCAACAAGACAGAGCTCATGGTTGTGGCCCCCAAGGCACTGCTCGGGAAGGTTGGGTATCTAATCCTAACCATCGACAGTGCCACCATCTCACCATCTGCTGAGGTCCGCAACCTGGCAGACCCACATCAAATCTGTCACCAAATCTGCTTTCCACCACCTGAAAAACATCTCCAGACTCCGGCCATCACTCACCGACTCAGTTGCAGAAACACTCATACACTCCTTCATCACCTCCCGCCTGGACTGCAGCACATCACCCCCACCCTCATCCATCTCCACTGGCTCCTGGTCAAGTCCCGCATAATCTACAAAATCCCACAGTACATAACGGACCTCCTCCACCCCTACACTCTGTCCAGATCTCTACGCTCCTCTGACTCCGGCCTACTCTTCATCCCTCACTCCTGCCTCCGAACTTTTGGTGACCGGGCCTTCAGTGTCGCTGCCCCCACCCTCTGGAGCTCTTTCCCCCCTGTAACCCGCAACGCCCCTTCAGTGGACATTTTCAAATCCACCCTCAAAACTCAACCTCAAAACTGTTCACCATGGCTTTTTAATTCTATAATCCATCTTATGCCCAGTGTACCATCACAGTTTCTCTGCTTTCTTCTGTTGTTGGTTTTAGTTTTGTTGCTTTTCTGTACTGCTTGTGTTGTATTGTACTGTTCTGTTGGTGGTATTGTTTCCTTACTATGTATTGTAAAGTGACCTTGGGTTTCTTGAAAGGCACTATATAAATTAAAGTTATTATTGTTATTATTATTATTATTATTATTATTATGGAAGAGTCATCAGAAGAAAACTTTTCCTGTGTCCTCACCACGAAATTCAGCATCACAAGTTTGCAAAGGAACATCGAAACAAGCCTGATGCTTTTTGGAAACAAGCCCTGTGGACTGATGAAGGTAAAACAGAACTTTGAGGTATGTTTGGAGAACAAACTGTTAAACATGGGGGTGGATGGATGATGCTTTGGGCTTGTGTTGCAGCCAGTGGCACGGGGAACATTTCACAGGTAGAGGGAAGAATGGATTCAGTTAAAGTCCAGACATCACAGCATCTGTAAAGATGGCTTCTACAACAGGACAGTGATCTGTAACACACTTCTAAATCCACAATGGACGACCTCAAGAGGAGCCAGCTGAAGGTTTGGCCACGCCCCTCACAGTCCCCCGACCTAAACATCATTAAACATCTGTGGATAGAGCTCAAAGAGCAGAGCATGAAGACGGCCCAAGAAGAAATCCTTAAAACAGGAAGTGTAAGTCCTGACCATGCAGGGTGCCCAAACCTCTGCCTCAGGCCCTTTTCCTTTTTAATTATTTCAAAACTTTAAAAGATGGAAATTTAAAAATATAGTAATCTTGCTTAGAATATTGAAGAAATGAAGAAGAAATTAAGAAATTTTGACCGGGGTGCCCAAACGTTTGCATTCAGCTGTCCTTCATGTACATTAACACGACACAGAAATGTCCAAAGGAAAGAATTTCTCTGTAAAATTAATCCAGTTTTCAGGTTCTGTTAAACGCTGATAAATGTAAACAACATAAATCAGTAGTAAAGTCAGTGTGACTGATTATATGTCAGCTGTCGGCTGAATAAAGATTCCACAGACGAGGCGATAACGATCAGGAGGTCCTTTTCTGTGCAGTAACGTTGTTTCTTGCAAACATTTTTAAGCTCTCTGGTTCTCATGCGGTGTTTCAGCCTCAAAGCTGTTGTTGTAGTAGGGAGTTAGGTCGGCACGAGCAGACGACTTCTTGAGTCCACAGCAGATGAGTCTGTAGAGAGCCACCAGAGGGATGGAAATCACAGGTACTACAGAGAGGAGGATGATGATGGCAAACACCCAGTCTGGGTAGGACTTGGTTTCAGTTTTTGGGAACAGTTCCTGCAGACAAAGACAACACAGTGTAAAATATAATGTACAGAATATTGTAAAAGGATTTCATTTAAAAAATAAAGTTGAACAATACTTTGACAT